TGCCGACGGTTCGGAGACACACCTGTGACGAATCGCTCACCTGTTTCCAGAGGAGAAGCGTCCAAACTCAGGGCTCCGGAGTTCGCTGGATATTCCTGGGACACCGGTGAACTCCACAGTCCACCGGGCTTCATTTTACTCGTTAGCATAAAATCACTACCTAAAGATTGACGAACAAAGAACAGAGTTCATAATTCAGAGAGGCCCATAATTCTAAAGATTGGTTAGTCCAACTAGTCCTGATATGAAGTGATCTCTGACCAACTCTAGCTGGTCCTGTTGTTCCCGTGCCGAAACTATCCTGGTCTTCCACCTCTGGACCCAACGGGGAAAGAGCCGGAGAAACTAGGGATGAAATCAATCAACCAAATAAGCATAAAATGACTGAGAATGTGTATTAGAATATCATGTTTTGGCATCTGATATAAAACAGAGTGTGTTTTACTCGGCCCACTGTCCCACTGGTCGTCCTCCATGTGTTCCTCTTTGATCTGAATGGATTTGATCCCGCCTTCCTGCCCGAGTCTGCATACCTCTGATGAGGAAACAGTGAAACATGATGGATAAAACATGATATACAGCGATTTCTGAGAAACCGCCTCAATTCAATCAGTTCATCATTTAAAACCACGAGTCTCTTTAGAAAATTTGGTCTCAACCGGTCATTTCATATTAATTGTACATCTCATTATGAACTTCTCAAAGTGTATCTGCATTTGTGTTCTGAAGATGAACAGAAGTCTCTGTTTGGAATGACTTGAGGGTGAATAATTATATGAAAGAATTTTCATTTTTGGTGTGAACCCTTATATTATTATAACATAAAAATTAATCAAAGCATACCGAGGTAGCAAATGTTTTTCCGCAGGCTCAGTTTTGCCTGCGGAAAAGGTCACATGGGCCACATCCTGGCCACACACAGCAACTCACACTAAATCCAGCTTGATGTATGTAGGCCAGATGTGGCCCATGTGACCTTTTCCGCAGCCAAAGCTGAGCCACGTGCGCCACAGATGAGGCCCGGATATAGTATGCTATCTAAGACGTGGAAAATTAGATGATGAGAGCGCAATTGTCAAAAGTTAATACATTTATTTATCAGCGTTTTAATATGCTCTCATTCATAAAGATTTTTAGAGGGTAAACAAGGCTTTTCATGTTGTGTGGAATCTGCGATCTGACACAGTTTGTTTGCTCGTTTCCAAGCCTAAAATACCCTCCCTGCGTCCCAATTCGCATACTATCCGTCCTAAATAGTATTCGAAAATAGAATTAGTACGTCCCAAATCGTAGTATGTTGAAATGAGTGTTTCAAAGATACCCGGATGGTCTACTTTTTCCGGTCAGAATCCAAAGTGTAGATCGATGCACACACTCTAACGGCTGATATTGCCCACAAACCATTGCGCGTCGGACGAGGATTCGGTTAGAACTACAAACACGAGTATAAAAGTGTTAAAAAAAACTACAGACACGTAGTCGATACGGAGGACGGTTGTGTAGAGAGGTTTAGATAAAGAGGTTTGAGTGATTAATTATCAGTATCTAACCTGACGAAAATGAATTATTCAATGTTGTCCACACAATATATTGCATTTGCAGCAGCATTGTGAACTTTTGTAAAGACACGTTTAGCCATTACGTTTTAAATGCATCATTATATTCAAATTGCAAACACGAGGAGAGGATGAAAGACCCACAACGGGCAGATGAACGTGCTCTCCGAAACGGTAGGAAATCCAAAATAGATAGAATGGAGGATTTTAACTGTGACAAGATGATTGACAGGGCAGTTTACGGTCGCAGCGCGCGACAGAGCCGTCCGTTAAAGATGACGTGATAGTATGTCCCAAAGCTTGCCTACTCTTTTGCTACACACTCAAAAGTATGTACTTTTTCCTCACAAAAAGAGTACATACTTTTAGGGCGTAGTATAAGTAAGCGAATTGGGACGCAGCATGAGTTTCCTGCCATCGCGGGGTGAACTTGCAGTGGGCGGAGTCACACAGACCAAAACAAAAACACACATTCCAGCACGGAACGCACATTTCAAAGTATAATACCTGGCTGTAGAAGTGTTATTCTGAGGAACGAGTGTGTGAACTCATGTTTCCAATGCAAACATGGTATTTTTATGCTTTCGTAGAGTTAAAAAGTTACATACAGCATTCTTTAAAGAGTGAAAGGGGCGTCATGTCGAGTTTAAACAGTGTCATCATGTGTGACTGAAGTACCTCTCTGTCCGCTGGTGTTCACTTGTGTTCCCACTGAGCGCAGGTTCGACTGGTTCTTTCGGGCTGATCGCAGTTCGCTCTCGGTAAACTGCAGTTTAAGCATCAGCGTCTCGACCTCCATCTTCCGGCGCGTCATCTCCTGCTCCACCGCGCGACTCATCTCCAGCAGCGCGCATTTGGCGAAGCGCTCGAGGATCGACGCGAGCGTCGCGTGGATATCAGCCGACGCAGACATTACAGCCGCTTACAGTCGAACAACACAAGACTATTGTTTTAATATGAAGACTATGGGGATTCTGAGCCTGTCCTCGCGCTGGGTTAATAGTCGAGCATGTACCAATGTTTACACAAATCTCACAAAGAGATGACCAGTTCCAAGCGAAGTGACGTCACCGTTAGGAGGACCAATAGAAGTCGGATGGTTTCGTTTCAATGCAATAAAACCTAGTTTAGAAGCGCCATAGAAAAACGCACTGACCCGAATTACTGAGAGATGAATGCATACTGAAAGATTTAGGTTACACTATTTTTTAATGTGTCATTGTAAGTACTGAGTATTATTAACTAACTAGATGTACAGGTTATAGATTAGGTTGAAAGTTAGTTGCATGTAATAATGCATTATTTACTGTCATTACTATGGTACTGTAAAATAAAGTGTTTACAAAGATTTAATTCCAAATATTAATTTTCAACAGAGTAGAAGTTAATTCTAGTGAATGTTTGACAATGGCGAAAGAGGTAATCATTATCACATCAGTATTTCTTTTCGCATCTCATGATAACTTAATGTTGTTTATAATAAACATTTTGTGCCGAATTTTAGAAATGGTCAGACTTACCATTCTGAAACCTGAAATATATATAAATGAGTAAAAAACAGCAAAACATAAACCATATATTTATAGTGAAAATACTAATTTATTGAAATTAAATGCATAGCGTGTTGAATGTATACAACAACAGAAATAAAAATACATAAAACAATTTCCTGTCTATACAGATGTCTTAAGCTGTTGGGTTAGTCTTTATGTGTGTGTCCTTGAATGCAACGATCACAACATTAAACCATTAAGGGTGAAAATGAACACCACTGACATCAGATAATTATTTAATATGGAAAAACACTTTACAATAAGATCTCATTTGTCAACGTTAGTTAAAACAACAGCTAACATGAACTATCAATATATTCTTACAGCATTTATGTTGGTTCACATTTTGATCTGCATGTTCAAATTAACATGAACTAAGATTAATAAATGCTTCAGAAAGATTTATCATTGTTAGTTCATGAAACTATTTTATAGTAAAGTGTTACCATTAATATTCACAAGGGTGACTGTGTTAAATGTAAAAATATTTATTACATTTTAAATTGATTTGAGATACATAAGCTATACAAACAGTCTCATCCCCATATATTTATATATTTTATCATAAGAAAATTACTATATTGAAAAAGAATATAAAAATATTGAAAAGAATGTAAAAGTGTTGGTACATCCACAACTTTCCATTCTTTGCATAATAATATTTTACACTACACGATCATGTTATGGAAGCTTGTTTCTGTCACGGAATAAAAAGGTAATTGTGACGTGGATATAAACTCGCAGTTACACTTTATTTTAAGGTGTCTTTGTTACACTGTAATTATATATTTAAAAATTAAGTAACTACATTTTACTATGGGGTAATGGTTAGTTGCATGTAATTACGTATAATTTATAGTAACAATATGTAACGAGGACACTTTAACGAAGTGTTACCATATCAGGTTAGGATGAGGGTTTGGCTTAGTTCCATGTAATTACGTATAATTATAGCTATTAACCCCTCAGCTGTCACGCCCTTTTTTGAGAATGGGGGTTAAAAATGCACAATTCAAACTTAAATGGTTTTGAATATATACCCCAAGTTTGGTCTTGTTTTAAAGGAAACACTCAGCAGATTATTGCTGAAGTGAAAACACTTTAAAAAAATGAAAGAATGAAAAAATTATGGACGTTTAAATTTACAGTCAATCAGAAATACTGTACTAAATATTTTTTATTTTATATAAAATATATGTTTTACAAAATATTTTTTTACTATAAAATCAAAGCCATATATCTAACCAAGTTATGTTCCAAATTTGAAGTTGATATCACAAAAATTTGGGCGTAGTACCAAAAATAGCCACCGGGTGCCATTGAATTCCATTAAATTTAGTTGCATATATTCTGCCGACATTTCTGTCCAAATATCAATTTTGAACATTGAGACACAGACCTTTCAGACAATATGTGTTTTGTCAAGATTAGAAGATCATAAATTATTAAATCTAATGATGCCCAAAAGGGGAGGAGCCTGATAAAATAATTTAGAGTACCGTTTCTATGGTAACGCAACGTTCAATTATAAAACGGTTTTCACAGGATGAATAAGCTTTCAAATGATACCTAATTTATGATAACTACTAAAATATGTGATGCGATAAAAACAGATCAGAACTCCTGTTAGGGTGCATATTTTTTTTGAGGTGCACACAAAAAAACAGCAGTCAAAAATCTATTTAGCAGTCTTAGACCTTTCCAACGATATATAGTTTGTCATGACTAGATTAGGATTAAATAGTGAAGTAAATTTAGGTTTCCCGTATACGGGCAGGTGACAGTAAAGCGTAATATAGTATTATAGTAACAACGTGTAATAAAGACACTGTAACAGAAAGTGTTACGAAACTGCGAGTTATAAAGTCCAGAGTCCCCTTTTTGATCGGTGGCGGAGACGCGCTTTCGTCAGTTTTCCCCTTTCCTGCTGTCTCTGTCCCAGTGCGCTCCGGAGAGCCGGTCCGTGTTTTCCTTCTCTCTGCTCCTCTTCTCCGTGGCGCGAGCGACGGCTTCGTCGAAGCACATGCTGACGCCGCTGTTCCTCTTCCCGTCTCGCTCCGCTTCCCTGTGCAGATCTTTCCTCCGGTCCACCACGCCGTCCCAGCTCCCCGGCCGCGCTCTCGGCCCCGCGTCCTCCTCCTGCGCTCCGTCCGCCGCGTGTCTGTGCTCGAACTGCTGCCGGAGCGCCAACGCCGTGAGCTTTGAGTTCTGAGGTTTGGGCGGGACGGCGGGGACCGCTTTGACTTGATTGGCCGAGCGTTTGGGAGTTGTTGACGAGATGCTGTCGTTTTCTTCACGCTGAATCTCCTCAGCTTCATCTGGTCCTTCGACCATCTCCTCAATGACACAAGCGTCTGTGTTCAGGCTCACCTCCTCCTCCTCCTCCTCCTCAGGGCTTTCTTCTCCTTCTTCTACAGGTTCAGTCTTTGCTTTTTCCATTTCCTTTCTTTCATGTTGTCTTTCTTTTTCAGATTCAACCCTTGAATTTTCCTCTTCCTCACATTCTCCACTATTTTCTTTGCTTTCATCTTGTTCTCCTTTTACAGTTTCATCCTTTGCATGTTCCTCTTCTCCATCACTTTCTCTACTAATTTCCACTAAATCTTGTTCTCCTTCTTCTACAGGTTCATTTTCCACTAAATCTTCGCTTCTTTCATCTTCTTGTCTTTCTTTTACAAATTCAACCGTTGAATTTTCCTCTTCCTCACATTCTCCACTATTTTCCTCTAATTCTTGCTCTTCTTCTTTTGTTGAATTTTCCTCTTCAAATTCTTCCCTTTTTTCCTCTAAATCTTCTTTTCTTTCATCTTGTTCTCCCGTTGAAATGATCTCACTTTCTCTAGTATTTTCCACTAAATCTTGTTCTCCTTCTTTCACAGTTTCATTAATCGAATTTTCCTCTTCACATTCTCCACTATTGTCCTCTAAATCGTCTTTTCTTTCATCTTGTTCTCCTTCTTTTGTTGTTTCATCCTTTGAATTTTGCTCCTCTTCCTCACATTCTTCCCTTTTTTCCTCTAAATCTTCTTTTCTTTCATCTTGTTCTCCTTTTATAATTTCATCCGTTGAAATGATCTCACTTTCTCTAGTATTTTCCACTAAATCTCCTTGTACAGGTTCTTCCTCCTCTTCCTCACACTCTAAGTCTTCATTTCTCTCGTCTTGTTGTCTTCCAAGTGTTGAATTTCCCTCTTTCTCCTCTCCACTGTTTCCCTCCAAATCTTCCCTCCTTTCAGTCGCGCTCACTTCCTTCTCATCAGCGTGTTCTTCATCATCATCATCATCACACTGTCCTTCCTCGGTGTCGGCTCTGTTGATGCCGTCCTCATCCTCGCTCATGATCGCCGTTTGTTTCTCCGATGGTGGATCTCGAGGAGCCAATGAGATGCAGTCGACGACAGTGAGCTCATTGGTCGTCACCTCACTGTTACCATGGTAACCGGCACCTGGAAGCTCATTGGCCGCAGTTTTCGGCTCTGGTGAAGAAGGGATCGAGTCCGGCCCGAAATACGTGTCCTCGTCACTGGCTTCATCTTCCCTTCTGTACACAAACAAGAGATGTAAAATATTACAGGGACACTTTATTTTACGGTGTCCTATAGCAAGTGCATGTTGTTAAATAATATTACTCAGCGCTAAAATATATAACAACGACACCTCAAAATAAAGCGTAGCCAATATCACACAAGCAGCGGAAGAGATTATAAATCCACATGCTTCAGGTACTTACATCAACGTGTGTTTCTCATTCCCAGCATCCTCCTCTTTCTGGTGTTCATCCGTGTTTAATTCACCTGAACTGAGATGAACAGAGTTTTCACTGTTGTCTGTAGGAATCACATCTTCCGATTGGTCGGCATCTTTACTAAGTGCGTTTTGCATCCCATCTGAGCATTCTGATTGGCTACTGCAGTGGGCGGCGACATCGCTGCTAGCGGTGGTTTCCGGACCCGACCAAGAGAGACCCTGAAAACACCGACTGGATGGGAGACTGTGACAAAACATGTCCTCATATTCAGACCCTTTATCAGACTCTTCATCGTCGTCATCATCATCAGCAGGGCTGTAGTCGTCGTCTGATGATGATGATGACAGAGCTGGTAGGAAGGGCCGGGACTTGTAAGGCAAACTGTGTGATTTCCCAGGAATAAGCCTGTGTGTGGTTTTCTCACAGTCATTAGTGCAGTTTTGTAATGAGAATGAAGCGGCCCGATTATCCTGGATTTGATCTTCCTCTTCCTCGTATTCCGTTTCGAAACATGGCGCTTCGACTGAAAACTCAACCTGGCGAACAGAGCGAGAGAGCGAGACAGACGTCAGATGCAGGAAGACAATATGAACACCGTTTCAAACAAAAGCTCAAGGATCAGTGTGTTGCACCGGCCCAGTCAATCTGAGGTTGTATTTACCTCATTTTAAGACCAGATTATACACACCTGGTTTGAAGCAGAGTTGTCCATCGAGTCCAAGAACCCGAACGCCTCCTGTAGATCCATCGGAAGCTCCTGGTCTGGAAACTCCATGTCCTCGTAGAAGCGCGGACTGGCCGGCGCCGGATGGTTTCCTTTCATCTCTGTAGGAAAAGTGGGACTTTAAAATTAAAAAAAACAATGTCTTAATTTACTATAAAAACACCGCCAAACTAAATTCAATATACCCATGTAATCCTCTTCTTTGACCTCTGGGATTGGATCTTCTTCCTTCTTCACCGACTCTTGATTCAGAATCTGATCTTCTTTGTCACTCGGTGCATGTCCGTCTTCTGGCACAGTTTCTTCTTTAATATCCACCATATTCTTCCCACAATCCACCTGAGCTTCTTCTAGGCAAACACTGATTTCTCTTTTACTCTCGTCATGAACATCGTCATGTTTGCTCTTGACGTCCTCGTCTTCCTCCACGGTTTGCTCTTTCTCGCTCCAGCCGCCGTGTAACACACCCAGAGCCAGCCCGGATGTGATGTGAAGCGGGACGGTCACGGAAAAAGGCCCGGAGATGTGGATCCCGGCGCGCCGGTCCGCTTTGCTGGTCATGGCTGGCGATCGGGACACGCCCTGCGACGCCCCCTCGGCCCCGTTGGCTCCGCCCCCAGAGTCCAGGCGATTGTACGTTCCCGGAGTCCCTCCGCTCACCATACTGACCTGAGCTCACAACATGGAGATGCCATATGCCTTTAGAGTAGTTATGAGTAGTTCACTTTAAAATGATAAAAAAATTAGCACATGATTTACTTTCAATCCATCCTAGGTGTATATGACATTCTTCTTTTAGACGAATACAATCAGAGGAATATTAAAAATTTCCTGGCTCTTCCAAGCTTTAGAATCGCATTGGATTGCAACCAACAGAAAAAAGTGCATCTGTCCATCATAAAAGTGCATCTATCCATCATAAAAGTGCATCTATTCATCATAAAAGTGCATCTATCATCATAAAAGTGCATCCATCCATCATAAAAGTGCCTCTGTCCATCATAAAAGTGCATCTGTTCATCATAAAAGTGCATCTGTCCATCATAAAAGTGCATCTGTCCATCATAAAAGTGCATCTATCCATCATAAAAGTGCATCTATCCATCATAAAAGTGCATCTATCCATCATAAAAGTGCATCTGTCCATCATAAAAGTGCATCTATCCATCATAAAAGTGCATCTGTCCATCATAAAAGTGCATCTGTCCATCATAAAAGTGCATCTGTCCATCATAAAAGTGCATCTATCCATCATAAAAGTGCATCTATCCATCATAAAAGTGCATCTGTCCATCATAAAAGTGCATCTATCCATCATAAAAGTGCATCTGTCCATCATAAAAGTGCATCTGTCCATCATAAAAGTGCATCTGTCCATCATAAAAGTGCATCTATCATCATAAAAGTGCATCTGTCATCATAAAAGTGCATCTATCATCATAAAAGTGCATCTGTCATCATAAAAGTGCATCTGTCCATCATAAAAGTGCATCTGTCCATCATAAAAGTGCATCTGTCCATCATAAAAGTGCATCTGTCCATCATAAAAGTGCATCTGTCATCATAAAAGTGCATCTGTCCATCATAAAAGTGCATCTATCATCATAAAAGTGCATCTGTCCATCATAAAAGTGCATCTATCCATCATAAAAGTGCATCTATCCATCATAAAAGTGCATCTGTCCATCATAAAAGTGCATCTATCATCATAAAAGTGCATCTATCCATCATAAAAGTGCATCTATCCATCATAAAAGTGCATCTGTCCATCATAAAAGTGCATCTATCATCATAAAAGTGCATCTGTCCATCATAAAAGTGCATCTGTCCATCATAAAAGTGCATCCATCCATCATAAAAGTGCATCTGTCCATCATAAAAGTGGATTTATGATGGATAGATGCATTTTTAAAGACTTCAAAACAGAAACAACCATTCACTGTGATTATAAAGCTTGGAAGAGACAGCACATTTATTAATATTACTCTGTATTCGTCTGAAAGAAGAATGTCATGTACACCTAGGATGGCTTGAGGATGGATAAATCATGGGGTCATTTTAATTTTAAAGTGAACTACTGCTTTAAACACAAAATTAAGGAACTGTCTTGCAAAATACTTGACAGTATTCATCCTGCTACGCATGCTTAGGAAAGATTTAAGCTTATTATTTCATTTACCTGTGAATTTTGTGCACTAGAAAAAACATTATTATTATTATCCTATTTTGGAAAGATTTAGAAACCTTTATTAAAACTGAAGTGTACGATAGATATCTGAGTATTTGATGTGCTTTTTAATAATCAGAATAGCAATTTGGAATGTAAAGAACAACATATTATACAATTATTTATTTTGTTAGGAAAATACCATATCCATAAAAAAAATGAGCAGCTCAATGCAAACCAATTTTTTTTTTACATTTAAAAAATGACTAAATTATATGAGAATCTTATGGAACAAACAAAAAGGTACTAAAAACATGTAATGCTTTGAAAGGACTGGATTTTATGTAATGTTTTTTATTTTATTTTTTCATGTCCTGCCAGCTAATGTTAATATATGAATATGTGAATATGTAAAACTCTTGTTCTCATGGCATTGAATTAATATACTGACCTGAGCTCCACCCGTCCGCCTGTACGTCACCGCGTATCCGCTGGACACGCCCCCTCCGGCAGAGGCCACGCCCCCTCCAGCAGAAGCCACGCCCTCTGAGCTGCCCGAGGCCGAGGCCAAAAGCAGAGGAGGAAGATGAGCGGGAGGATGTTTCGAATCTGAGACACATGAACACACACATGCAAGAGGATGCGTCATTACTACACTACCACGCAACAATACTGGAACCATTTTTAATAAGAGTCTTTTCTGCTCACCGAGGCTGCATTTATTGGATTAAAAATACAAAAAAATGTGTAATATTGTGAAATATTATTCCACTGTAAATCATCTGTTTTCTATGTGAATATATAATAAAGTGTAATTTATTCCTGTGATCAAAGCTGAATTTATTTGATCAAAAATACAGTAAAAAATTTTAAATATTACAATAATATTACAATGTTTTCTATGCAAGTGTAATTTATTCGTGTGAACTTTCAATTCATCAAAGAATCCTGAATTAAAAATGTAAATAACTATTTTTAACACTGATAATAATCATAAATGTTTCAATGTCATATTAGAGTGATTTGTGAAGGGTCATGTGACACTGAAGACTGGAGTAATGATGATAAATTCAGCTTTGATCACAGGAATAAATTACACTTTACTGTATATTCACATAGAAAACTGATGATTTAAATTACAAAAATATTTCACAATATTACAATTTTTTTTGTCTTTTTAATTCAATAAATACAGGCTTGGTGAGCAGAAGACTCTTTTAAAAACATTACAAATCTCCCCGATCCCAGACGTCTGACTGGTAGTGTGTGTGGCTGTAGAGTGTGTGATAAAGCTGGTCTTACCTTCGGCGGGGAACGGGCCGCAGCTCAGCGAGTCCATGCTCTTCGCCGGCCTCAGCGTCGTCTTCTCTTTGTCTGAGCGACGAGGAACGACAGCGTTAGATGTGACCGAGAGAGATCTCACTAATCAAACCATATCTTTATTACCTTCCAATTCTAAAAAAAGGGGATTGGTTAAAAATAAACCAATAAAACAAAATGGTTCAAATAAGGGTGACTAACCATAGAAAGGACACAATGACAAAGATATCAGTTTCCTGATTTTTGAAACTGATTTTTCCCCTCATGAATATATAATTGACCTGAAGAATTTATTCATTTATATGAAAATAAAAGTATGTTTATAATATAATGCTCACAGCCATGCAAAACGGCTCTATCCCAGATGAGCTGCAGCGATGAAATTAAACACTAATTACACATATTATTGTCTTCATAAACACGGCTGTTCCAGGACTGGGATTGAAATATTCTATATTCAGCACTTTCAGCATGTTGTGTGAACCCTGAACCCTGAACCCTGAGCCGCTCGGGAGGTTTCGCTCGTACCTTTAGGACAGTATTTGCTCTTCTTGCGGGGATCGTGGAGTCTCCCGCCCAGATTAAAGATGGACTTCCACTTCCTTCCTTTGAGGGAGCCCTTCCTCCTGAACACACACACACACGTCAAAACATCAGTATACAGCTATATATCATCCTCAAAATCATGATTATTGAACTTTTAGGCATTTTTGTCATACTTTTCTCAACTCTTGATGCGAGTGATGCTACACTGGCTAATAAATAAACTAATAAATAAAAAGAACATGAAATGAAGCTGTAAAAAAACGGGATTGTGGATGAGATAATCCTCATCTAACACACTTTATAATGGTGACGCTATACTTGGGTTAATATAATTAAATAAAATCATTAAAAATAATAAAAATAACATTAAAATTAATTAAAATATTTAATTAAATTAAAATAAATATATATCATGAAATAGAAAATAAAATTGATTGGGGATGCATAAAATAAAATAAAATGAAATTGCACTAATGTTGATCTCACAAACTTTACAGTAGTGACGCTTCACTTCATAATAAAATAAATAATCAATAAAATAAAAAATAATATAAAAAACATTTTAATTTTTAAAAACAAAAATAACATGGAAAAAAATACATAAATATAAATAACATGAACTAAAAAATAAAATAAAAGTAATGTTAATCTCACATCCTTTATAGTAGTGAAGCTACAAAATAAAAATTTTATTAAAAAAAAAATTTAAAAATAAAAACAACATGAAAAAATAAATACATAAATGCAATAAAAAATAACATGTAATTAAATGAAATGTAAAATAAACTTGATTGGGGATGCACTATTGTTAATCTCACATACTTTATAGTAGTGACGCTACACTTGGGTTAATAAAATGAAATATAGAATTATAAAAAAAATTCAATTTTTAAAAATAAAAATAACATGAAAAAACAAATACATAAGTAAAAATAAAAGTAACATGAAATTAAATAAAAAATAAAATAAAACTAATGTTAATCTCACATACTTTATAGTAGTGACGCTACACTAAAATAAAATAATTAAATATTTTTTAAATAAAAATTACGTTAAAAATTAAAATTAAAAATAACATAAAATTAAATTAAATGGAAAATAAACTTGATTCTAATAAATAAAATAAATATAGCATGTAATAAAAAAAAAAATAAATAACATCAATAATCTTGATTGGGGGATGCATAAAACAAATGAAATATAAAATGAATTAATTAATTTAAAGAAAGTAAGACAGAAATGGCTGTTCTTCTTTTGGAGCAGCAGATTAAAGCACTGTAAGCGGTTTGACAGGATCGCTCCGTGGAGACGTGGCGGCGCTCTTACTTGTCGGTGCCGTCGATGATGGCGTGGTACGAGCGCATGGCGGGAGGCCCGTCTCCGGGACTGAGGTTCCCCGGGCAGTGCAGAGGGAGAGACTTGAAGAAGTGATCGTCGCCGGGCAGAAGCGAGGGAGACGGGAGAGACTTCCGGCGCTCCACCGACAATCCTGCGTTACCACACACACACACACACACACACACACACATTCTCAAATCAAGAGACATTTACAGGAGAAGGACAATGACTGGACATATGACGTTTGTGTTTAAGGGCTTTAACCTGTCACTCACAGGAGATCAGCCAATAGCAAACCACAACCGTCCAATCAAGCCCCGCCCACATTTGATCATGTTCCTGAAGCGTTTCACTGGATATACGACACAACCGTCTTTAAGAAAGATGAAATACCTGTTCCAGGGAAAAGCTCGGCCACGTGAGTGAGAATAAACTCCACCACGATGGACTGAACCCGGACCTCCATGAACGCCGCCGTCCCGTTGAAGCCAGTCGACTCGATGTCCTTCGACCTGCACATCATTCAGCAAAACTGAACAAAACTCAACATTTAACACTGTAACATTACTTAGAAGGAAATTTAATCAGTAAATGTGTCCATAGTTAATGCCCGTATCTTCTGATCAGATTAATTGAGCACATGCGTTTTTTTATGCGATATCTCAACAATGTGCATTAATGAGTTGGACTGAAACACAGCCCGTGTGTACTTCAGAATAAGAACACTACATTTCCCTGCACACGTCTGATGATGAACACACACCTCAGGAGGTTCGGGGCCCACACGATGGCCAGGTTTCGGGAGTGCATGTTGGTCTCGGACGCAAACGTGGACATCTTGACCAGATGACGCATCAAATACTCCAGAGTTCTGGAAGACACAGAGTGTTGGAGGAACACAAGCAGAGTTAATCAGAGTTAATATCAGAGTTAATATCAGAGTTAATATCAGAGTTAATATCAGAGTTAATATCAGAGTTAATCAGAGTTAATATCAGAGTTAATCAGAGTTAATATCAGAGTTAATATCAGAGTTATTCAGAGTTAATCAGAGTTAATATCAGAGTTAATCAGAGTTAATATCAGAGTTAATCAGAGTTAATATCAGAGTTAATATCAGAGTTAATATCAGAGTTAATATCAGAGTTAATATCAGAGTTATTCAGAGTTAATCAGAGTTAATATCAGAGTTAATCAGAGTTAATCAGAGTTAATATCAGAGTTAATCAGAGTTAATATCAGAGTTAATCAGAGTTAATATCAGAGTTAATCAGAGTTAATATCAGAGTTAATATCAGAGTTAATATCAGAGTTAATATCAGAGTTAATATCAGAGTTAATATCAGAGTTAATATCAGAGTTAATATCAGAGTTAATATCAGAGTTAATATCAGAGTTAATATCAGAGTTAATATCAGAGTTAATATCAGAGTTAATATCAGAGTTAATATCAGAGTTAATATCAGAGTTAATATCAGAGTTAATATCAGAATTAATATCAGAGTTAATATCAGAGTTAATATCAGAGTTAATATCAGAGTTAATATCAGAGTTAATCAGAGTTAATATCAGAGTTAATCAGAGTTAATATCAGAGTTAATCAGAGTTAATATCAGAGTTAATATCAGAGTTAATATCAGAGTTAATATCAGAGTTAATATCAGAGTTAATATCAGAGTTAATATCAGAGTTAATATCAGAGTTAATATCAGAGTTAATATCAGAGTTAATATCAGAGTTAATATCAGAGTTAATATCAGAGTTAATATCAGAATTAATATCAGAGTTAATATCAGAGTTAATATCAGAGTTAATCAGAGTTAATATCAGAGTTAATCAGAGTTAATATCAGAGTTAATCAGAGTTAATATCAGAGTTAATCAGAGTTAATATCAGAGTTAATATCAGAGTTAATATCAGAGTTAATATCAGAGTTAATATCAGAGTTAATATCAGAGTTAATATCAGAGTTAATATCAGAGTTAATATCAGAGTTAATATCAGAGTTAATATCAGAGTTAATATCAGAGTTAATATCAGAGTTAATATCAGAGTTAATATCAGAGTTAATATCAGAGTTAATATCAGAGTTAATATCAGAATTAATATCAGAGTTAATATCAGAGTTAATATCAGAGTTAATATCAGAGTTAATCAGAGTTAATATCAGAGTTAATATCAGAGTTATTCAGAGTTATTCAGAGTTATTCAGAGTTATTCAATCAAGCTCAAGAAGGAACAAAAACACCATTGAAGTATGACGGCTCAAAGGGATAGTTCACTTTGAAATTAATGTTTGATATGTTTTATCTTCCCTCAAGGGCATCAAAGATGTCGGTGTCTTTGTTTCCACAGTATTTTCAATTTTGTTATTTTTCAGTCAAACCGTTGTTGTCTATCAGTCATACACTGGAGGCTAAGGGGGTCCACCAAAGTCCAGATTAAACATGATTTAATGACTCGTACATGTAAGTACACACTGATGGCCTAAGACACGAAACGAGCGGTTTGTGTGAGAAAACCAACAGTGTTTATATCGTTTTACCTCGTGTAATCACAGTGATCTGAATCAGTTGAACTGAACCGAACTGAATCAGTTCAATGTTACGCCGGAAGTGATCGCTCGCGTGTGACGTCACTCAATATTTACACAGAGATTTCGGAAGTTTTACCTTTTACTAAACATATTTAGATATACCGAAATCGTCTTCCATCGCGGTTTCCCGTATATCTAAATATGTTTAGTGAAAGTATCTCTGTATAAACAAAGAGTGACGTCACACGCGAGCGATCACTTCCAGACCGAAGCGCCCGTGCCGTCAGTGGCTGTGATTACACGGTAAAAACGATATAAACACTGTTGGTTTTCTCACACAAACCGCTCGTTTCGTGTCTTAGGCCATCAGTGTGTACTTACATTTACGAGTCATTAAATCATGTTTAATTTGGACTTCTCTGTGCTGCTCTTTGAGGTGGTGACCATAGACCTCCATTATATGAACGGTTTGACCTAAAAATAACAAAATTGAAAATACTGTGGAAACAAAGACACCTACATCTTGGATGCCCTTGAGGTAAAATAAAACATAAACATTAATTTCAAAGTGAACTATCCCTTTAAGGTTGTCTTGTCTGTGTGTGCCGTAGAGGAACAGTTTCAGTGGATCGTACAGGGTTATTAGTTCATCTTCGAAACAAATTAGGATGTTTTAAAAGAAATCCAAGAGATTTCCGTCCCTCCATCGACAGCTACGCAACTAAAACTTTGACCCTTTGAAAAGTTCATAAAGAGATCCACACACTGCAAATGCTTTTCTTACTCAGTATTTCTGTCTCGTTTAGAGTCCAAATATCAAAAAATGATTATATCAAGAAGCATTTACTTACAGAAACCCGAGAATAAAGTCGAAATATTTAATAAGTCTTCCGTAGAAGTTTAGTGTGTGTGTGCGACCGATTGCAGATTTCTCATGAAGCGTTCACACACTCGTCTCAGAAGCTGCACACGACACAAAATGCAAATATTTTTCTGAAATAACCACAAAAAATCATCATAAACCTCAAGTTCTCTTTTCCAGTAATAACTCCCTCCTGTTTCTAATTATTACAGAGATCCTGGAGAGAGTCTCAGTCTCAGTCACACTCGGCCATGAAACATTTCAATCTGGTTTTAAAGCGTTACCGAATCTGCCCTCTCAAAAAAAACCTCATCTTAAATCAAATGGAAAACAAGATTTATTTTTTTCTTTTCTTTATTTTTTTGTCTCCAGAAAAACAGATATTTCTTATGTCATTTTAGTCATTTAGTAAATGCTTCTTGATTTAATAATGTTTTGATATTTGGACTGAAAACAAGCGTGTGGATCAGTTTTATCTCTTTATGAACAGATTTAATGTAGGCTTTAGTCACACACATTAATCAGCCAAAACAAACGTTCATTTTTGTGTGAACTATGACTAAACACAACTCACTCTGATATGGACTTCTGTACCGTATCCTTTAATTCAGTGTATTGGTCCTTTCTGGAGCTTTGTGAGTTATTAGTAAATTAAGTTTAGTTCGGTTTTAGTTGATCAGAAAAAATAAATATTCTTTTTTGGGTGAACAATGACTAATAGCAGACATGCACATGACTCTAATATGGACTACACTGAGCAAAAAAAATGCTTTTCTTACTTAGTATTTTTGTCTCGTTTCCAGTCCAAATATAAAACATGTCTTAAATCAAGATCCATTTACTAAAGTAGTAAAATGCCATGTGATATTAAGTCTTGTTTTCTAGGAAAATAAATCAAATTAAGTGAGTTTTGGCTTAAAACAAGCAAAATGATCTGCCAATGGGGTCAGAAAAACAATCTTGTTTCTGTTTGAATAAACATTTTTCTGACCCCTTTGGCAGATCATTTTGCTAATCAGATCATTTAACTGTGACCCCCCTTTTTTAATAGACATGGAAACGCTCATTTCAAACTTAAATGGTTGTAATTCAAGAATGCTTTGGAATATAGACGTAAGATTGGTCTCGTTTTAAAGAAGACATTTGGCAGATTTTTCTCAAAGTGAAATAAATTAAGAAAGTGAAACAGAAAAAAAGTTATAGAACTTTGAGTTTATGGAAATGTACAATGTAAAAATATTAATTATTTATATTTTCAAAACCTGGGCAACTCTAAAACTGCAGAAAAATCAAATCCAAAAATCTGAACAAGTTGTGTTTCAAATTTTAGGTTGATATCAGTGGTGTAGTCTACGTGATACGCAGGTATACGCCGTATACCCACTAGAAAATGTCAAGGATTTGCGTATGCCCACTAGGAAATGTCAAAGATCTCCGTATGCCCACTTTAAAAAGAGTGAGGATTCGTAACAACATCGTTTTGTGAAATAAATTTCCTACGACATCAGCCCCCCTAAACGTAAGGCGACAGAATTTCGTGTTCCCTAATCTTAGATTCAGCGCGCGAGCAGAGAGCACGTCAAAAACAGAGGACAGGGTGTGTTTGTGTGTTCGTGTTCATCTGAGCCTCATTGGTCTGTCACTGCTCGTCAATGTCAGAATATTTGAGATGACAAATCAAATCAAAGTAGGCGGGCTTTATTTCAAAGACGCTGCTGAGCGCGAATTTCAGCAGAGCAACTTGACGCTTCAGTTTACGGGCAAGTGCGAGATAAGATGTAAGTGGCTAAACTTAACATTTCATATTTTACATTTTTTAGGTCATGAATGTTAAACGAATGACAAAAAATAATCAGGCAAACTATAGTTTTGTGTAATTTCGCCATTTTGAAGTGAAATAAATACTAGGCCTGTAACGTGACTCATGCAATTTAATAGTTTACTGTCATTGCGAGGGGACAAGAAACATTAACAAAGCCGTTTTCATCATTTTAGCCACAAGAGTAATAACGAATGTGTACATATTGATAATATAATAAAAATTGTAGCCTTTATTACATTAAAAAAGCTCAGCCTTTGGAGGGGGAGAGAATTTACTGCCCACTGACATGGTTTTAAAGCTATTTCTTATTATTTTTTTCTTCAAACGTCTTGAAATGCACATCAGAGAAATCAAAAAAATTGAAGCACCAACCTCAAATTTAGGACCTCTTTGATTATAAAGCCCTGTCTACGGCCCTGTATTAGTCATAAGATCAATAATGAATGTGTAGCCTATATGTTTTGAATGTATTTAATAAACTTAATTACCTAGCTTTAGTAGCTTTCAGTGAATAAACGTGCCGAGAAAAATTATTCATAGGGAAAATCCACTCATCAGTTGACCCCATGTTTACTTTCTTCACCGACAGACAAAAATGAAAAGCCTACATCAGTCACAGCTCATCTTTAGGAGGGGAAGAGACAGGGCAAGATAAAAAGAGGGTGATGCTGATGAGGAGAGAGAAATAATCAGCTGCCCACTGACATGGTTTTAAAGCTGTTATCTATTTTTTTGGCCTTCAAAACATCCTAAAATGCACAAATGTAGATCAGAGAAATAAATTTTTTCTCAGGGAAACCCTGAACTCCCCTAACTAACCTACCTCACATTTGGGACAACAGTGATTATAAAACCCTGTCTTTTGCATGTAATGAAACCGGTTAATAGTGAGCATTAGATCCTAAACTAAACCTAGTGACGCCCCTGCTTCATGCAACCTGTCAAAGTTTAAAAGAAATATATTACTATTGCACAGCATAGTACTTCAAGTAGGCCTAATAATATTAATAATAGTTTATTAAAACACACAGAAGCTCAAATGTCTTTAATTTACAACAGTTTATAGAGATAAATAAAGTAACTCGATGGAATAATGAAAGAAATTGCATAGTAAAATGTAATTTATAAAATAATAATAATCAAATCTATTAAGACAGAACTTTAAAGGAATATCACACAAGTTTTGAAAATTTTTCGCAAATGGGTGGTGGTGGTGGCGGCGGCGGGGGGGGGGGGGGGGGAGGAGGGGGGGGAGCTGCTGGTATATCACAGTATACTTACTACAAAAAACTAGACTACACCACTGGTTGATATCTCAAAAAATAAGGTTTCAGTGAGGTTTTGTTTGGGCGCAGTACCGAACGCTTCCACTAGGGCACAACCAGACTCCATTACTGCCCATATAAGGGCGCCTCCATTTCCATATGTGTTTTGAGTGATCTGAACCATAATTTTCACAAATTTCACACAATTTATGAAGTAGAAATCCTTTTCAGAAGTAGTATGGTTAGTTTGGCATATTTTGATATGAATTCAACCTCTAAGAATCACATACAAACTCAAAGCACACGCATGCGCGTTATAGCTTATTGCCATAACACAAATGGTGAATTTATTTTTTTTTTTTTTTTCGTAATATTTGAAACATTTTCAGACCTTTTTTTTTTCTAAAATAATTGAATGGATGCTATCTTTTGAACTCTTGGCATGAAATCAAACTGAGGTTTCTAACTTTTTTTCATGTTCATTGCTATTTCAAAATAAAGGTCTGAACACGCTTTATGAGTACAAAAATATTCTTGTTGCAAATTGATAAATTACGGCTCCTGTGTAAATTATTTTGAAAATCAGTCACCGAATATGGAAACTAGAGATTGTAAGCGTTCAAATGATAAATAGTTTGTCAATATTACTTAAGGTCTTTTCTAAGATATTATTGTTTTAAAAATATAATGGCAAGCGTCCCACCTGTGGTACGGTGAAAGTTAAGTTAATAATTCTCCCGGACAACAAAACTTAATATGTTATGTCATTTTACTCATCTAGTTTACTCATTCATCTTGATTTAAGGATTTTTAGATATTAGGACTGGTGAGACTAAGTAAGAAAAGCTTGTTTTGCAGTACACTGAGTAAATGAAGTGTGTTGAGTGTTAGTTGTGTGTTAGTTGAGTGTTTGTTGTGTGTTAGTTGTGTGTTGACCTGTAGTGAAGAGCCGGTAAGTCCTTCAGAACCTCTCGGATCTTGACCAGCCGCTCGTCCTCCAGCTGGATGGCCACCGCGTCCTGACCAGAGAACAACACGTCTTAAAGCGCACAACACGTCTTCATTTAAAGCACATGAGATGAACTGCTGAAATGCACCGTTATCTTACACAGATCTAAAAGTCACGTAAAAACACATACGTTACATAAAAATACCAGATGTGATCATATATTTTGTTTTATTATTTTCATGTTTTTCGATTACTGGTTTATTTATTTTTCTCTTTATCTTATTGTAGTGTGTTTGCAATGTGTGACGAGAAACTAGGGGAAAACCATCTCACAACGTGACATCACATGTGTGGGACGAATAATAAAGTACCTTCAACCCCTAAAAAATTATTTTTGATCATTTTCACAAAATGTTCATGGTCCCTGGAATATATTTATTGAATGATTATATGAACATGCAATATATTCAAAAAAAAGAAACAAGCTATTTAGACGTAAAAGTTTTAGATCAGTACGATTTTTTAATGTTTTTAAATGAAGTCTCTTCTGCTCACCAAGGCTGCTTCATTTGATGGAAAAAAAAAATGACAAATAGTAATATTGTGAAATATTATTGACTGTTTTCTATTTTAAAATGTAATTTGAAAGCATTTTTTTAACATCATAACTGTTGCTGATTACACATCAGTTTTCAGTGTCACATGATCCTTCAGAAATCATTCTGATTTTATGCTCAAAAAAAAACATGTTGAAAACAGTCGTGTACCATTTCCCCCCAAAATTCTACGATGAATAGAAAGTTCAAAAGAACAGCATTTATTTAAAATATAAATGTCTTTACTGTAACTTTTGATCAATTTAACTCATCCTTACTGAATAAAAGTATTTTCTAATTTCTTTCCCCCAAAAATAAAAAATAAATTCTTACTGACCCCAAACTTTTGAATGGTAGTGATTAATGTTACAAAAGCAGATCAATTCTGTTCTTTTGAACTTTCTATTCATCAAAGAATCCTGACATAAAAATGTAAACGTGGATAATAATCATACATGTTTCTTGAGCATCATATTATAATAATTTCTGTAGGATCATGCGACACTGAAGACTGGAGTAATCATGATAAATTCAGCTTTGATCACAGGAATAAATTACACTTCACTATATATTCACATAGAAAACCTGCTGTTTCAAATTGTAATAATATTTCACAATATTACTATTTTTTTGGTATTTTTAATCAAATAATTGCAGCCTTGGTGAGCAAAAGAGACTTCTTTTAAAAACATAAAAAATCTTACCGATCTAAAACTTTTAACCGGTAGTGTACATGAATACAGTCATTATGTAAATATTGGCATTATATCAGTGCTTTGCATATTGATGAACAGATTTGATTGTGTTGTGTGCGACTCACAGCGAAGCGGTCGTACAGCTCGTACGTGAGCAGAGGGTTGGGCAGTTCTCTGAAATACGCCTTACACACGGAGCTCACGCAGTGGATGTCCTGCAGATACACGTCCTTATTCAGATCCGGACACCCTTCAGTGTCAAACTCACTCCTGCAATCAGACCAACTCCTCGATCAGTGTGTTCAAGCCTTTACATGTCACACACACACACACACACACACACCTTAGTTTCTGTGTGTTGGATGAGACTCCAGACAGTCTGTAGATGCCGTCCACGACCCCGTGCTCCTCGATGAACTCGCCGCAGCTGCGCAACACCTGAGGAACTGCAACACAGAGAGTGTGTGTGTGTGTGTGTGTTCAGGCAGATAAATACATGAACAACTGTGGGGATAAACTCACTGTCTTGTGCGGTGGAGGTCAGATGCTCCAGAAGATCACATCCGAACACTTTCTCCCGATTGCCTCCTTTTCTCCGGCCTCTCCTCATCTTGCTTGTGTTTCACCTCCTCTCTAACATTCAGGCCTCATGTGTGTGTGTGTGTGAAGGGTTTAATGAGTGTGTGTGTGAACTGCCGAGGTTAAACCGCACATGACGGCTGCTGTCGAATATCTGACGCTGTTGAATCAGTTTAATCCTGATTTACGTCACTGGTGAACCTCATCCTGAGGGAATCGACTCTTCATGTCTGGAGATATGAGATCATATACAGTATCTATATCAAAGGAGAAATTAAGCCACAATATTCAGAAAATGTTTAACATGACATAACAACTGTTGTTGAAGGGTTGCTTTATGGTTCTTTGAAGATTAATACAGTTTTTTTTTTTGTTTGTTTTTTAGATTTAATGATCTATAGGCTGCACTGTAAAAATGAATACGCTTTATCTAATCAAAAAAAGTGTGGCAACAGATTACAAGCAATATTATTACGTAAATTTAACAAATTAGAATTAACTAATAATTAATTCCTTAAAAATTAACCATTTAAAATGAGTAAAACTTACAACAACAACCAAAAAACATGAATTGAGTGTTTGTTTTAAAATGATGGTTTTCTCCTTCACTGATTCTGCTTGTTAACATCAGGTGTCTTCAATGTTGGCAATTTAAAATAAAGAATTCTTAATTAATTTTTTAACGTCTGAGAATTTTTTTGGTGTAAACTTTACTCATTTTAAATGTTTATTTATTAAAAAAATGTATTTTTAATATTTTTTTATTTTTATTTGAATAAATATTTTATTTATTTATTTTAAATGGGAATAATTTGATTAATTATTGCTCAATTCTAATTAGTTAAATGTAATTAATAATATTGCTTGTAATCTGTTGCCACAATTCTGTTGATTTAGATAAAGCGTATTCATTTTTACAATGTTTAGAGCATAAACTGACTTGTTAAGTTTCACACACAAGCACAACCGAATGATCTGAACAAGAGGACATATCCAGAAATGCCTTGTTGATGCAAGAGGTCAGAGGTCACAGCCGACCCTCTTCTGATGTCACAAAGCTCAAATCATCTCAAAACCTGTTTCTTGGTCATGATGAGTTCACTGAACTCAAACGGCTTCAGTCGCCAGATCTCCATCCAATAGAGGAGTATAATATACACCAGATTCTCTGAGGTTCATGAATCTCTGGCTCGAAGAATTGAATTAAAGGTCCAAAAGGGTAGCAAAGTTTCCTAATAAAGTGACCAGTGAGTATATATATATATATGCAATCACATTTCTTTATAAGTGAGAACATGAGATTTATCCACCAAAGTTACCATGCTCAGAAACAGCCTTAAAAACATGATTAACTAAGGAATGCAGATTACTTTTCATTAATAACTGGCAGCCGATATATCGGCCATCATATCGGTATCGGCCGATATATGTTCATTTTAATGTTATCGTTATCGGCCGATATATAGAAGCCGATGAAAGTTTATTATTTCCAAGATCATGATGGTTATGAATTGCTTGAAATCACTGAAATTGGAATCACTTCACAAAGGAAAATACAGTAAAGTGCAAGACATTTCTATCGGCTACATAAAAATTATAATAAGAACATTATATTAGTGTGCTTGTGACATGACTTTTAATGGTGAGACTTATTTTCGCTATCAGGCTCTCAAAAACGATATAAAATTTGGATTAAGGTTTATCAGCCGATATATCGGTTATCGGCTAGCAATTATAAAGAATATATCGGTATCGGCCAACATTTCCATATCGTTGCATCTCTACTGACAGCCAATTAAAACATCCACCCAAGTTTAATAACAAGAGCACAAAAACGTTATTTCCTAGGGATGCACCGATACCGATAATTCGTTATATTTGAAAGCCGATAACCGATATATTTTGCGATAAGTTTATAACATTTTTGAGAGCCTGATTACAAAAGTCTCAATATCCCAAACACACAATTATAATGATGTTCTCAGTATAATTGTATGTGTTTTATAATTGTATTTTAACATTTTAAAGTGATTTCAATCATATTTCAAGCAATTCAAAACGATCATGTTGAAGAGTGCGCATCTGAAGGAAATAACACATTATCAGCTTTAATATATCGGTAACACTTTACAATAAGCTTCATTAGTAAATGCATTAACTAACATGAACTAACGATGAGCAATGCATTAGTTACAGTGTTTATTAATCTTTGTTAATGTTAGTTAATACAAATACAGTCGTTCATTGTGCGTTCATGTTAGTTCACAGTCCATTAACTGATGTTAACTAATACAACCTTTGATTTTAATAACGTATTAGTAAATGTTGGAATTAATATTAACTAAGATTAATAAATGCTGAAGAAGTATTGTTCACATATTGTACATATTATTGTAAAGTGTTACCAATATAGCAGACAAATCTTTTTTTTATTGAGCCGATAACATTAGAAATCGGTACCGATATATCGTGCATTCCTATTATTTACACATTGAAACATTTTTTTTAAATGTAACAAGTTTCAGAATGTAACATTCAAATGTAACGTTTCCCAGAATGTTTGCAAATTGGAATGTTTACTATACATTGGCATAACCATTGAGAAATAACGTTTGGTCACACTTTATTTTAAGGTGTCATTGTTACAGCGTAATTATATGTAAGTATTATTAAGCAACTATGGACTTACTATACGGTCGGTTAGGATGTGGTTGCATGCAATTATCAATAATTTACTGTTATTACTACATTAAGTGCATGTTACATATGAAACAAGGACACTGAAATAAAGTGTTAACCAAGCATTTTTTTTGAAGTCGTCTGAATTATGAACGTGCGGCCTGTGAGCAATAAAACACACCTCAGGAAACACTATAAAGAACAACACAAAATGCAAAAACAGGACAACATCTAAACGGAGAGCAAACCTGCATATACACAACATTTGGAGTTGTAGATTTGAACCATGACACACTTGTAGAAGTGTAGAAACGCTTCACATCACGAAGCGCTGGGTTGGGTCGCGTGCCACCGTTTCCTCTTCTCCGTTCGTGAGTTTTGCACCAGTTCAAAGCCACACCCTCACAATTTCAACATGATCTTCGTAACTTTCCACAAGTATCGCAGGAGATAGACTCAAAAATCAGCCACGGTTTCTGCGTCTCAAACTCCTCTCGAGGGTTTTGCATCATGTTCGACTGATTTTTCAGCGAGTTGGTTCCTCTCGGCCTCTGGCGGAAATGACTGATCACATCTGAAGGCCATGAGAGCTTCGCGTTCACATCATCAAACAAACCCAGGACTTGAGCGGATCCCATCACACGCCGCTCGATCAGGCATCTATACAGCTAAAGCTAAAGTAGAGATTGAGAGGAGAAAACAGAAGAATCAAGAAAACCCTCCAGTCCTTACCTTTCTCTCTGCACCGGCAACAAGCGTCAGTGTAAAGTGTGTGTGACGCAAGAAACCACTAAACTTCCCTCACTGACTTCCTGAGTCGTTCAGTTTCTGTCTTGATTCTCCATTTCTTATTGACGCCTTTATCTCGAGCTCTCGCTGGTTCGTCCATACGTGCAACATCAGGCCTAGATATGAAGACACAAAACTGTGAATCATACTACGATTTGCATTTATTCATTCAGCAAATGAGGAACATCACATGCAATGCAACATAAAAGCAATATTCATGGTACACAATAAGCTGTATTAATGCATAAGCCAGAAAACAACGAGAATGATTAGCTTATTCACTCACCACGGTATTGGCATGTTACTCCAGGGTACTTCGAAGAACTGCATCGTCCTAATGTGGTAAATATCCAAATTTGCATGGTAAATATATATATAAAGCAGGGCATTTCTATTGCTCAATGTTAAAAATCAAAACCAAACAAACAAAAATAGGCATTTCCATGATTACTATATGCATGTACCATGGTATTGATCTGATATAAGATGTCAATGAATGCAATGGTAGTACTATTGTGTGTGTGTGTGATGATACTTTGTTCTGAATGTTTTTTTAACCCCTTAACTGTCACCGTCCCGGTACCGGGACGCCTAACTTCACTTCACTATATTTCTATTAAATCCTAATCTAATTATGACAAATTATATATTGTTGGAAAGGTCTAAGACTTCTAAATAGATATTCTACCCCTGTTTTGTGTTAAAAAAAATTTGTAGGAAGAGTAATTGATGAATTTATGACAAGAGTGCACCTCAAAAAAATCTGCATCATAACAGAAGTTTTGACCTTTGTCACAAAAAGTCGATGCACCCACTTTTAATCATTGAAACTTCTGTTTTTATGCTAAAAGGTCATAATAAAACATATAATCTAGTATTTTTCAATAAAAAAAAATTATAGTACAATATTATCCTCTTAAAATGATAATATTTATATTTATTATCCTCTAAAATATAATATTATTTTTTATCGCCTTTTTTTATTATATCACATATTTTAGTAGTTATCATAAATTAGGTATCATTTGAAAGCTTATAAACTCAGAATTCATCGTGTGAAAACTGTTTTATAATTGAAAGTTGGGTTACCGTAGAAACGGTACTTATTTTATCAGGCTCCTCCCCTTTTGGGCATCATTATATTTCATAATTTATGATCAAAACCTTTTCTAATCTTGACAAAACTGATAGTCAGAAAGGTCAGAGTCTCGAGGTTCCAAATTTTGTGACAGAATTGATATTTGGACAGAAATTTATTAATTTGTTATGGCAGAATGTATACAACTAAATTCAATGGAATTCAATGGCACCCGGTGGCTATTTTTGGTACTACGCCTAAACAAAATCTCATGGGAACTTCAAGTTTTGTGATATCAACTTCAAATTTGGAACATAACTTGATAAGATGTATGGCTTTGATTTTATAGAAATTTTAGAGTAAAAAATATTTTATAAAATATATATTTTATATAAAATAAAAAATATATAGTACAGTATATTTAATTTACTGTAAATTTAAACTTCCATAACTTTTTCATACTTTCATTTTTTTGAAGTGTTTTCACTTCAGCAATAATCTGCTGAGTGTTTTCTTTAAAACAAGACCAAACTTGGGTATATTCCAAAGCATTCTTAAATTACAACCATTTAAGTTTGAATAGTGCATCTCAAAAGACAGCTAAGGGGTTAAATTTTCATTATGACATTAAAAGTCATAATTATGAGATAAAATTTTGACTTACTACTGTAGGCTGTCATAATTTCAGATTTTTTACTTTTTAATGTCATAATTATGACTAAGTTTTCATCTCATGCTTATGACTCACTACACCAAAAATTTGACCTTTTGTCATAAATACGACATTCTTAATCATCATTAAGAAAATTTCACTCATAGAAATCCTTAGAAAAAATAACTATTCTTCAAGCTCATTTTATTAGTAAAGTTCACATATATTTTAAGTATACCTCTAGTAACTAAGTATCCTTATATCAATGCACTTGAGAATAAATTGGCCCACTTTTTAGTGTATAAAAGTATATTTTAAGAGTAATAGTAGTAAACTTTGAGTACACAACTAGTTTACAACCACATTTTTCATTTGTACTGCAACTACACGTGAACTTTAGGTTTACTGACAGTTTACTAGTCAAATACTTGCAACACATTTCTTAGTTTTTGACAATACACTTTGAAGTACACTCTCAATAAACTATTAGTCAGTTTTATACTGCAAGTATACTTGTACGTTTTATTTAAGTGAACTTAAAATCATACTTTATATATTATATTTACACTTTACATATACTACCATGTTCCTAATTTCGTTTTTTTTACTTGACATTAACCGTTAACTGTACTTTAAGTAAATTTGAAGCAAATTCTTAGTATTTAATAGGCTACTCAATCCCAGAAGAGTAAACAACACGACGACAAACTCATTTATACTTAAGTATATCTCGATCAAAAGATTGAGTGCAGCATAGGCCAAATATACTTAGGCTTTTTTGTAATTTAAAGTATATTTCTGATAAATTAGACAAGTAGATTTTCTTGTTATTAGCTCATTTGAATAAACTTCTGTGCCACATCCAACACTTTCAGCAAACGGTGAAAGTTATAGAAAATATTTAATATTTAATTTAAATATTTAATATTTGTTATATAATATATATTATATAACATATTTATATAATATATATGATTTACACTGTGCTTTCAGTGCAAAAGCTTTTAATACAAACACATCGCAAAAAAAAAAAGTCTTCAATCAAGATACTTTAAATTGCATTATCATTATTTTTCCAGATATGAAAATAAAGTTTATGACCACATTGGAAGATTTCTTCTTCTTTTTAAAATTAAACTCGCCTCAAATTTTTTTTAGAAAAGAGCTAATTTTTATCTCGAGCGAATGTACGTCATCAAAACACAAACATTCCCAGTGTGTGGAAAACGACTCCTGTTCGTCACTGTAATCGCCATCCATCATCAACACTGTTGTTAGTTAGAGGTGATAAATAATCTTCATTTTGTGTTTAGTTTTGAGTATTGGTCATTTGATGCCATACCTTGAATATGTTCACTAGTGTAAAACAATCCTGTCTGCAATCAGTGATGCTGCGATTTCAGAGTCACGTGATGTCAGTTACACTACGTCATAACGGTTTCGAAATTTAAGTGGTTCGTTCGTTGGCTACTAAAGGCCAGTTCCCACCGATAACGATAAAATATATAGTTCTGAGAAAGTCGTTCTCAATATTAAAGAGTAGCAGAGTTCACACGGCTATAACGATTACGGCACAGACAAATACTAACTGTTGGAATCGCTTTCAGAACGATTTTATCCAGCAAATGAACGATAAAAACATTGACAGCCAATCACAACCCTGATGTGAGGAGCTCGAGCATTTAAAGCGACAGAAGAAAAAGTACGATTTTTATCGTTCTTGGCGTGAACGGGCCTTAAAGGAATATACTATATTTTTTATTTTGTTTGGTGAATTTTTATACATAAAATTTTTGGGCTCACGTTCTACTAAATTCTTGAAACAATATGGTGATGCTCTTCATGTGGGCGTGTCCATTTTACTCTTTGTTACTTTAAATAAAAACAAAATGATGATCTCTGTCAACCATAGATATGATGTCTATGCTGTGAACCCAGGAACTATTGCTTTTACCTGATCTGGGATCAGTTTTATACATTTTTGTAGACATGTTTTTTTAATGAATTAGGCTATTCATGTACTAAAAATTAAGATTAGTAAATAAAAACAAGCCTATTTAAGGTAATAACATATACACTTCATAATTATATTAAATGGTTTGTTAATTGGATTTAATAGATGACACTTTCAATAAAACATTTGTAATTGGTTTGTTTTTGTGCATATTTTGGCCAGACATTTTCGTTGCATTTACACTGATCTGACCAGCAGGCGTCACCAGAGAGTCGCGCTTCCAAACACTGAGTCGTTTTGCGAATCAATTGATTCAAAGTTCATTACTAATGTCCATATCGTGATCAGCAAATTATGGCTAAACTGCTACACCTCCTGTGAACTGGCAGAGGAAAAGCATATATTTTGCACATCATATATCAAATATGACTCATTGTGATAGATTCAGATGTTTGCAAAACGTTTGAGGAAAATAAAAGTCCCTCGTGAGTCGTGATGCCAGCGTGTGTCACATGACCTTCAGATGATTCAATGTCGCTCGCTCTGTTATTGACCACAGTTTGTTCTTTGCCAAGGAGAGATTAAAGGAACACGTTGCAAAGGTGGAGTTAAATAAAATGCAGCTTCTCATATAGGCCTATCAGTCGAGTCAGGAATCAATCAGACGCTTGATCAGACAAGAACAACAGCAATGTGTTAAAGAACCACTAGACGAGGAAGCAAGAAGAGGAGAATGTATGTGTGTGTGTGTGTGTGTGTGTGTGTGTGTGTGTGTGTGTGTGTGTGTGTGTGTGTGTGTGATGGGTAGGTTTAAGTGTAGGTTAAGAATATACAGAAAAACCATTGTGTATACGTAGAGTCCCCACGTGTGTGTGTGATTTGACTAATGTGTCCCTGATATTTCTCTCTCTCACACACACACACACACACACACACACACACACACACACACACACACACACACAGTTGATGACAGGCACACAGAGCGTGGTGTTCTGGGTAATAATAGATCACACACACCTTGCTGAATCCATTAAAAGCGTGATTCACGTTGTTAATCCGTGACTCGGATCGGATACATGAAGGCGTGTGTGTGTGTGTGTGTGTGTGTGTGTGTGTGTGTGAGAGAGCTTCACAACATCTACTATCACTCAGATGTACTTCACTGCAGCTTCATTATTAATTTACTTCATTTTCAACTCAATAATAAAATTAAATAAATTCTTGTCGGAGTAAAACATGATGATCTCCTC